GGGGGACATGGACAATAGGGACACGGGGGACAGGGGCAGGGGGACAGGGGCAGCAGGGACATGGGCAGGGGGACATGGACAATAGGGACACAGGGGACACGGGCAGTAGAAAATGGGCAGGAGGGACAATGCAGGGCAGACATGGGCAATAGGGACATGGGCAATAGGGACCAGGAGCAGCCTGCTCCCCCTCAGGTGAAGGGGACCCCCTCACCACAGAGCCAGGACGGCCAGCCACGCTCAGCTGGGGCTCCCAGCCCCTGCACAGGAGCTGCCATTGCCCGTTCCCGTTCCTGCCGCTCTGCCAGGTGAGCTGCTCCCCACGCCTGGCACCTCTGTGCTGGGGTGGCCTCACCCCTGTGCAGTATCAGACAGCGTGTGGGACTGGGAGCAGCTGGGAACAGCCCCTGACCCTGCTCTAACCTGCTCATCCTCGCCAGGCAGTCAGACACAGACAGGGCGAGGCTTCCCCAGGGAAAAGTGCAGAGCCCGTGGCTCTGGCAGCAGAGCAGGGCACGGGACACACAGCCTGGACACCTGGGGCACACCCTGCCAGTCTGAATTCCTCCAGTGGAAGTCACTGAGGAGCTCTGCCTTCTCCTGTGAGCAAATTCGGAATCTGCTTTCTGGAGGTTGCTCCCAACAGCGATGGTGTCACAGAAGCCCTGGTGGGTTTGGACCCTCTGCCAGCAGCCCCACCTGCCCTCTCCTGGGTGCAGCACCGGGCTTTGGGCAATAGGAAGCGATTTGTGTGAATCAATCACAAGCCCATGTTTTATTGACGACTCCAAGAGGTCTGGGTCACTCTGAAACCACAATACTCACAGCTCCGTGTCTTTGGATTTCATTTGCAGTGTAATATATCCACCCCTGGCTACTGCAGGGCTCTGCAAACTGTGGCTACCAGGTGGTTTTGGAGGGTTTGTGTACTGAAGGTGTCTCTCTCTCGCTGTGTAAGGAATTGCCAGGAGAGGAGACCCGAGGCTGGTGTGAGGCCCTTTAATTGTGAGCATCACAGAATTGCTCTGTTTGTACACGGTGCTGGTGCTGAGTTAATCAAAACACATGTGACTACTCCTGCGAGGAGGCATTCAAGGTTACATTCTCTTTACTGGCTTGGCTTTTGAAAAATATAATTGTCTTTGTGCTCTGAAACTGAGCAAACACTTCAGGAGGTGCAGGAGCAGGAAGAAAACCTTCCCCGCTTTAGCCAGGCAAGTCTGCTGAGTTTATGCCATTCTGTGCAAGGTTATGGCTGTAATTAGATCAGTTTGGGGCGTATCAGGTAATTCTCCTCTAAACAACAGGCTGAAGATGCAGTCTCTGGGAACATGTCCCACTCAAACATGTCAATACAAATGTGAGCTAAACCCAGCCTACCCAGAGGAAATGAAGGAATGAGGTTTTGCAGGGCTGGGGGCTCCAGCTCCGAGCCCCTGAACATCCCTCACACTCACACAGTAATGCTGCTCATCACCTTCTTGTGGCTCTTCCTTCCCCACCAAAACTGTCTTATTATCCTGACTAGCAAAAATGAAAAAAGAAGATTTTAAGCTCATTAAATATTTTTCAGGATTCTCAGAATTTCAAAATCTCAAGCAGTAAGTATCCACCATTCCTTCTAGATACACCAAGGCTGTCTACATTCAACGAAGCAGTTACCTATTTAACTTCAAGGGTAATGGCTTTTAGTATCACTTCCCAACCATTCTTTACACAGCCTTTTAGCTGTCCCTCTGCCTCCAGCTTTAGTGCAGAGCTGCTGGCTCAGGATGGTGAGGGTGGAAGGGATGAGTGCTGACACCCAGCTGGCACAGACAGGAGACGAGTGTGCCACTGGCAGGCCATGCCGGGAAGTAAAATCCCTGAAAAATCCCAAAGCAGGAGACAGACACACCCAGCACAGGGGCTCAAGGAACACCCTGGGAACCTGTGCCTGAACTCGTTTCTGGCACACTCCAGTGTGCAATTCATCAAG